GGGTTGCCTTTGATCCATTGGAGTTGAGCTATGAATCCATTTGGATAGGACTGTAGATGGGTGGAGATGAGTTTAACAATCTATGAGGATGGTCAGTGGAGATGGAGCACCTGGTCAGAGGATAGCGTCAAGAATCAGAAGAATTAGGAGTTTTGATTTCTGGGAAGAGCTACTGATCGGTGGGGATAAGCTGTGGATCTTTGAGATGAGGCCATTGATTGATGTGAACTGGGCTTTTGATCTGAGAGGATCTAAGAGCACTGAAGACCCATGAGGATGGGACTGTTAATCTGGGGGCGGGGGGTGGGGGGGCTGCTACTGTGGTATTGATCTTTGGGGGTTGGACTACTGACCCATAAGGGTGGAGTCATTTGTTTGTAGAGTTGAACAATACAGATCAGTAGGAATGTGGCTGTTGATATTTAGGAATTAACATAATGATCTGTAGGAATAAGGCCATTGAGATGAAGCCCACCATGTAGATTGGGCTATTATTGGAGATGAGTCTATTAATCTAAGAAGATAGGGAGGTGGTTAGTGGTAACAGGGACAATAGAGGAAGAGCAAGGACTTTTGATCTGTGGAGGCATGGTTTTTAGTCAGTGGTAATGGGGCTATTGTCTTTGGAGATGAGCCATTGATCCATGGATATGAGGATGGGGAATGGGTGGTATATTATTCCCTTGTGCAGAAGAGGTATGGAAGGAGTATTTCTTGATGGGGAATGAAGTTGAGATACAGCTGGGGCTGCATATCATTGAACAGAAGAAGTCCAGAAGACTGCAGAGTTCAGTGAATCTTCTTCGGCTTTGCACAAAAGCCACCTGTCTGGGCTAGCCACCCTAGCATCCCTTCCTCTGTACTTGCCCTGTCCCCATGGCAGCCCTCACCTGTCCGCCGGGTAGCCCAGGAACAGGTAGCCAGAGGCAAAGCCCAAGATGAAGAGGATCTGCTCCAGGATCACCTGCCAGCCCAGGTCACACACTAGATCCCACTGGGAATGTGAGAGGGATATAGCCTGGCGTGAGGCCCTGTGCTCCTCGCTCTGGGCCCGCCCCCAGACCCACGGCCCAGGAGACCGCCTCACCTGGCCGATGGCGTTGGTGGTGAGCACCGGCAACCCATTATAGTCCCAGTCCTTGAGACAATGGTTGAAGTCCGGCGGGGCAAAGCCGCTGCACGAGGGGTCCGTACTGGTGGCGACGCGGCTAGCGGCGCTGGCTGCTAGGGCTGCGCTGGCGACGCTGACGCCGCTAGCGTTGGGGGGCTGTTCCCAGCCAGACGCGTTGGGGGCAAAGCCCCCGTAGTGGCAATGCAGTGGGGGTGCCAGGGTGAAGATGGGATCCGAGGCCATGCCCAGCGCCACGAAGAGCACGGGCAGGCAGCAGAGGCCAAGCTGCAGCTGCTGGCCGCCGCCCAGCGCCCCCACCTGGGCGAGCAGAGCTTCAAAGCTGAGGGGGCCGGGGGGCACGGCCAGCGACAGGCTGCTGCCCATTCCATCGCCGCCCGCGTCGCCCTCCCCCTCCCGCTCGCGCTCCCGCTCCCGCTCACCCTGCAGCTGCTCCGTGGGCACCGCATCTCCGAGAGTCCCGACCTGCTGGGGGGTGGGGGAGAAGGGTGAAGCGGAGAAGCAGAGAAAGCCGCAGAGCAAGGGAAGAGGGCGGGTGCGAGGAAGGCGGTGGGGGGGGGGTCGGTGCGCGGGAGGAAGAGGAGAAAGATGCCAGGCGCTGGGGCGGGGGGGGATGATGGCGTAACCCTCAGGGCATGAGCACTTACTCCGTTGGGGCTGGGGGTGATCTCTACTGTGCTGTCGATTTTGCTGCCGCCCCCGCCATTGGGCTCGGGGGTCCCGGTGGCCACCCGGGGAGCCAGCTTGCCGACCGCAGGGGCCCTGCCGGCCCGCACCAAAAGGATGCGCTGTCCTTTGGCCCAGTGGGGAGCCCGATGTCTGGACACAGTGGCCAGAGAGACCCCGCTCTGCAGCTCTGCAGCCGCGGGCGCCTCCTTCGTCTCTGCGATCTCTGCGCTGCTTTCCCCTCCCCTTCCTCCAGACTCTCCTCCCCTTCCCACGTCAGCAGAACCTTCGGTCCAGACTCTTCGTCAGAGGGAGGAAGGGGGGCCAGGGCCCAGGGGCTCTGTCTCTGTTCCCTGGGTCTGCAGGCCATTGCAGTAGAAAAGGAAGAAAGCTGAAGGATAGTGGCTACCCAGGCAGTTGCCAGAGTCCTTTGCTTCCAGTTCTTCCTCATCATTCATTCATCTAGCCATCTTTCCATCCATCCACTCATTTGTAAAATTTATTGAGCGTCTATTATGTGCCTGGCCTTGTGCTAGGCTTTGGGGGATGATGAAATGGACAAGATCACCTTGGAGTAGCTTACTTGGGAGACAGCATGTTTACTCACAACTACAGTTCAGGGGATGCACATGGAAGACTGGGTTGGACCCTGTAAGGAGCCCCAGCTGCGATCGTCCACAAGACCACCCTCTCTTGTCATTTCTTAACATCATTTGGCACTGTTAACCATCCCCCTCCTCTAAACACTTTATTTTTTAGTGGCTAAGTCTCACACATTTCTTGTTTTCTTTCTCTTGCTCCTCTTCCCCATGGCAGATTCCTCCTCCTCTTCACCATCACTGTGTCTGTGAGCCTGAAGCTTGGTCCTGGGTCGTCCTCTCATTTCAATGTTCCCACCTTGAAATCTCACCCATGTCCATGGCCTCATTCACCCCCCATATAAACAACACAAACCTGATCTCCAGATCTACATCTCCAGCTCCCATCTCTCTTCTGATCCCCAGACCTATGAAGCCACCTCTTATTCATCCTTTTAACCTTGGGTGACTCACAGGGACCTCAAACTCAATACATCCAAGACCAAACCCATGCTCTTCCCCCTGCAATGTGGTTGTCTTCTACCGCTTCTTTCCCCCAGTGAATGGTACCCTCGTCATTCAACCATGGCCAGGTGCTCAGGCAACAGCCCTCACAATGCCTCCTCTTTACCTCCATGCCAAATCCTTTACAAAATGCTGTCCTTTTACTTCCTATGTAGTTTTCACTCTGCTTCTCTACATCTCTACCACCGTTAGTCAAGCTACCTTTTGCCCAGACTGCTTGGCCTCCTAACGTGTTCTGCATCCACATTGTTTCCGGCCTCTTTCCCCTAACCTTATTTCTAGTGCAGGTGGAGTGATTTTTTAAAAAAATGCAGATCTGTTTGTGCCCCTTTCCTGCTTAATAGCCTTCAATGGCTCCTCCTCACCAACAAGGTAAATTCCAGAAGCCTCATACATGCTCCTGCAGGCTTGATCCCATGCTCCCTGGTGCTTCGCCTCGCTTCTCTCCCCAGACTGCACTCATCATACTGGCCTTCTTTCAGTTTCCCCACTGCCACACGGCCCTTGCACTAGTTGGTCTTTATGCCTGAGGTCTTCTCCTCCCCAGTCAAGTTCTCATCCTTCAGTTATCAGCTCAAGCATTATCTGCCTCAGCGAAGCCTTGGCTAACCCCTGGACTTGCTACTCAAAGTGTGATTTAAGCCCTTGAATCATATGATTCAAGCCCTTGAACCATAATCTCCCTCTTAACCAGATCCCCAGGTATATGTATATTCGAATCAGAGACATACTTCTCTAAGAGATTTAATACCTAATAGATACTATATTCTCTAGTCTAAGGGTAAGGGCTAGAAAGGAGTGTGCAGATAGTGTCAGCCAGGAAATCCATTGCCTCTTCTTTCCACTGAACCACACACTTCCAATTCGTCCCCTCTGTTCAGAAATTTTCCAAATATGGGAACTCTTCTAATCCATTAAGCAGCTTCCCACTTCTCTTCTACCCTAACTCATTTCAGTATCTCTTTAGGATTTACTTTGGTGTGTTCACAGCCAACATTCCTTGGAGATTCGATTGTCCTGTGTCTGTCCTGGAATTATATATAACCCCTTACCTTTATGTGGCACTGGGTCATTCACATGCATTATCTTGTTACAGCCTCACAGCCCTGTGAGACCATTATGATCATTCTCCTACTAAAGGTAATGCCAGGACTCAGAAGGACTGAGAGGAGTTACCTGCACACACGCAGGTGCACGGCAGACCTGGGACTTGCACTAAAATCTCTTGACTCTTTCTGGCTTGTTCTCTCAACATTCTTTCTGGGAGATGATGGAGAATAGCCGTTATGTCTTCAGCACACAAGGGTGAATTTGGGTGACCCTAGAATCTGGGAGTTTTCTTCGGAGAGTGAAATGAGAAAGAAGGAACCAAAAATGGAGAAGGCAAGGCATTGGGGGAGGCAAAAGACTCAGACTGTGACTGAAGTTTGGAGTGCCTCTAATCCAGTCACAGTGCCAAGGTGTCATCTGGGGAAAGTACAATGGAAGCCATGGATCTGTGGCTTGGACTTTTTCCCTGTGGTAAGTGGCTCTAGTGATCTCCTATCTAAGCCATGGCTTGTCATTAGTCACCGATGCTTTAGGACTATGGACTAACAGCACATTGCATTCACTTGGACCCTTGGCTCCTCTAAAAGGTGTCTAGAGGACGGGCAGCAGGAGGCCTAGGAAGGGGGGCTGAAGGAGCCAAACCTTCTTGCCTTAATCTAAGGGAGTGGGCACCCAGGCCAGCCACCAGCACTGTCCAGTTGGCCAGAGCCGTCCTGTGGCACCACGCTGAGGACAGGCCTTCACTGGGGGTGATCTCTTCAGCTCGGCACCTTTCAGGGCTCTTGTGAGGCCAACCTCTCTGCACCTCTCTATTGACATCGTGTGACAATGAAGTCTTAGAGGAAAGGCCCCCAGTCAGTTATCAGTGTCTGCCTTCTGGGAATGCTAGGATCAGACTCTTCTTGGTGCTCTCATCCCTGGGGCCTCAGCTCAGATATTACTTCCCCAACGTCCTGTCCAAAGTCTCCTTCAACGGTCTCTCCCTTATCCAGTTAGTCCCTCACATCACCCTGTTTATTTCCATTACCGGCAACTGTCAAATCTGTGGCAGGTTTTTTTTTTTTTTTTTTTTTTTAATTTATTTTAACTGACTCAGTTTTATTCATCCCATTCCACAATGTACCTTCAGAACTGTGCTTGGCACATCATGGGAGCTGAAACCCACTGAATGAATAGTTATTGAAAGTAACAGCAAAATCTCCCCCCAAACCTAAGGACATCCTGCCCACAGTGTGTGTCCTATCGGTTTAGGCAAGGGGCACCAGGCCTGGCCCCTCCCCCAAGCACCCAAGAAGCAGAATCAGAGAACCAGATAGCAGGGCTCACTCAGGCCCAGCTCCTTCCAACCTCCTGTGGGGAGGAGCCCTCGGACCTCTCCCAGACCTCCACATTTTGGGTGATCAATGTCCTGCCCTCACTCTCGGCCAGTAGTGAGGTGCTTATGTTCTAGAGTCAAGAACCACGACAAGAAAGGGGCTCCGGGCGGCCCCAGGTTTCAGCCACCTGATTCTCTGCGGGGCCGTGTTTCCAGAGGTGCGGTGATCAAGAATCTCCCCACCACAGGCTGAGACAGAAGAGTCCAGTTCCTCCCTGCCCCTGACAAAACAGGGAATACTATTAAATATAAATAATTTATACAAAATGGCTCGTACAAAAAGCTGTGGGAGGGGGAGGGACATCTCTGTGAGAGACTGAGATGACCGGAAAGGGAAAGATGCCCACACCTCTCCTGGTCCCTAAAACAGAGCCCTCCGGAGGCGGCCCAAATCCCAGCAGGGGGCTCCGGCAGGCAGAAGAGAGGCAGAACAGGGCTGAGGGGAGCTTAGGGGGCCAGGCTGGAGAGCAGAGTGGTGAACTGCAAGGCCTGCCCTGCCAGCTCCGCCACACACTGCGCCATCTCTTGGGCCGCAGGGTGGGACGGGTAGCCCAGGGCGGCCCCCTTGACAGCCAGGACGGTGGCCCGCAGTGCCTGGCCCAATGCTGTCCCTGCAGCCCCAACCTGGGCTCGCAGAGGAGCAGAGGCTGCCAGCCGGCCCAGAGTGTCCCCAACAAACACCAGGCGGTGAGCAGCCACCACCACCCGTTTGCTGTGGGGCACGAAGAGGCGTGGGGGCTGGTTGGCCTGGGTGCTGGATGTGAGGGCTGCCACGGCAGCCTGCAGGGCTGAGTAGTGGCTCTGGCACTGGCCTGCGTAGAAGTGCAGGAGCTGCAGGTCTCCAGTGGGCAGATCCAGTGGCTCCTCGGGGCATGGGGCCTCCTGATGGCAAGAGCAGTGGTTGACGGGCATGCTCACTGCAGTGCTCCTTTTGCAGCCCCTTCCCCCCTCTTTCCCTTGCTCAGCTCCTTATTCCTTCCTTTCTTCCCGAGCTCTTCCCTCTGCCCACTGCAACATTTAAATTCTCATAGCCAGGGCTAGGAAAGTGCTCGGAGCAGATGACAGATCAGTCTGGATTCAAACTAGTCTCTGAACTTGTTTCCTTAGCTCTAAAACGGGGCCTCTGGGACCACGTTGTCCAGCATCAACATAATGCAAACCACATGTATAATAAAGATATTTCTAGAAGCCATGTTAAGAAAAGTAAAAAGAAATCAGATTTCCCCCCAACTCCAGATATAAAAATTGTTGTAATCTCAACATGTAATCAATATAAAAATGACTGACGTTTCTTTTCACTCTAAGCCTGCAAAATCTGGTGTGCGTTTGTTTCGTATGTACAGTGCCTTTCAATTCAGCCTAGCCGCATTTCAAGGACACGGTAGCTGCACGTGGTCAGGGGCCACCATACTGGATGGTGCCATTCCAGTGTCTGCTTCCCAAGGCTGCAGCACAGTTACTGCCGCAGCATGTAGAGAGAACTTAGAACATTGCACACGGTGAGCACCACTCGAGTACTAACTGGGGCTGTGATTAGTGCTGACCCGTGCAATGTGCTTATAAGCATGGGGCCCACACTTGGGATCTACCTGAGAAACGGTAGCTACAATGCTTAGGACCATTCTAGACAGTCAAGGAGACCACCTCACTTTCCTGAGGCCCAGAGAGATTAACTGGTGACTTCAGGGCCCCTGGCTTCTTACTGGTGGAGTTGGGATTAGAAGCCAGGTCTCTTAGGAACCCAGGAATTCACAGTTGGAAGGAGCCTCAGAGGTCACCCGGCCCAGCCCCAAATTCTCTCTGCTTCCCTGGCTGTTTGGTTTTCTGATTCTTCTCCAACACATTCTTTCCCCTCTTTCTGAATTCCTGATATCCTTTTCCAGGTTCCAGCTCCTTCCTGCTGAATTCTTGCTCCTCTCTATCCCAGAGTTTTTACCCCCATCCTAACCTCCCTCCCTTGCTGCTTCCCCCAAGTTCCTGTTCCTCCTTCCTGTCCCCACAGGATTACCTGCTGCTCTGGCAGCCCCCTCTCCAGCAGTTCAAGATTCCCTGGGCAGGCTTTATCCGGGGGCCTACATCCCTGAGCTTTATCCATGCCCTGTGGGAGGGACCAGGGTCTCAGTGCAAGGTGCGGGGGAGCAGGGCAGGTGCCCCCTTCCCGTGTTCCTGCCCCTTCCCTGTCCCTCCTTCTTCCCCAGGTCTCTCCTGCCATCAGAGGTTGCAGGTTCTTGACTCCAGGTCTGGGAGAGTTCTGGTGGCAGGTCAGGTAGGTCGGGGACCCCAGGCTGTGTTTAGATGGAGTGTAGCACCAGTACAAGTGGTGGGGCCAAGTATTGGGGTCCCAGGCCATAGGGTGCAGGGCCAGTGGAGGAAGGAGGGTGGGAAGAAAGGGAGGGTCCCTCTGGTTACCTTGGGGCATTTCTGGTGGGGCTGGTGGGAGGGGAGCTTACCTTCAGGTGGACATAGTCGTACTCTTCGGCCATTGGGATGCCCTCATACTCATTGTGGGGTCCTGCTGGATCGTCCTCTACCTCCCCGCCCTCTGGATCCTCCTCAACCTTGGGGCCCCCATAGCCCGGCAGGCGGGGTGGGGGTGGGGGTAGAGGTCGGTCCTGGATGCTGCCTTTCCGGCCTGGAGCAGGAGAGGGAGCGGGGGAAGGGCTGGGGGCCTCAGGGACAGGCAGGGCAGGCAAAGGGCGGCGGGACAGGCTCTCAGCTGAGGGCAAGCGGGGCCTGTGTGGGAGTGGGGGGCTTCTGGCCAGAAGCAGGGCCAAGGTGTCCAGGTCATTGGAGGCCGACGCTCCTGGGGGCTCTGGAGAAGGGGGCGCCTCTGGTCCCAGCAGGGGCACATCATAGATGCCCTCATCAGTGCCTCCACCTTCCCCATCTGCTAGCAGTTCCTCCGGCGCTTCGTACAGATTGAGCAGGGCTGAGGCCCGTTTCAGGTTGGAGGGGGCAGCGTAGAGGGGTGGCTCGGGTTCCCGGCCCCCTTCCCACTCCAGATCTGCTTCCAGCTCTGACGGCAACTTTGGGGCCAAAGGCACATCGTAGGGAGCTTCATCCTCTCCAGGGGGCTGCAGGGCACCCTGGGCCAGAGGGCGGCTGAAGGAGGCAGGGGAGTCATAGGGACCATTGGAGGGAACTCGGAGGGCCGTGGGGGGCACATCATAGACCTGGAGAGGGAGCCGAGCCACCAGTTATCGTCAGATTCGGCAGGGGACGCCCTCCCAGAGTCCTCTGCTCCCTGCCCAGCATATACATGGGTGTCTAGCTCTTACCTCCAGGGCGTCTCCAGGGTCGGCTGTCTGGGTCCCACTCCCTCTGGGGACCTTGTAGATGGGATCAGGGGAGGGCAGGCAGGGTCCGGCCTGAGGTCCTACGGTAGGACAGGGCCGAGCTGGGGGTGGTACCACATATACCTAGGGGATCAAGACAGATGGAAGGGTCAGGAGTGGGGACCAGAGAAGCAGAGAATGTATGCCATAGAGGAACTTACACCCTTTCTAGCCCCCATCCCGTGCCCATGGGGAGACAGAGCCCAGGAAGGGTTGGCAGACAGGTTTCACCCAGCTCTGGGTCCATGAAGAGCTGCAGTCTCAGGGCTCGCCTTGCCCCCTCCCCCTTGCTGCAGGCACCAGCAGAGGGGAACGGGGCTATTCTGGCTTGGGGTGGGGAGGGCTCCAGCTCTCACCTCCTGGTCCTCATTGCTGTGCTCTGGGGCTGGAGATGGTGAGCCAGGCTGGGCGGGGGGCTCCTGGGTGAGGCTGGGCTGGGGTGCTGGGCTGGCAGGAAGGAGCTTCACTCTGTTGGCGGGCACAATGCCCTGCTGGCCATGCAGTGAGCAGAGGCACCAGCCATCCAGGCCACCAGCGCCCTCCCTTTGCAGGACCCGGAGGACATCCCCTCGGCGGAAGGATAGCTCCTGGGGGGACTCAGCGGTGTTGTCGTACAGTGCCCGGGCCAGCTGGGCCTGGTGGGGGAGGCGGGAGTGGGGAGAGGGGTCTCACACACATAGCAGGTCAGCAGGTCCCTTGCTCAGAAATATCACAGAGCTCCCCACATCCCTCAGGCTACAGATCTGAACTGACTCAGTCCTTCTTGAGTGGGTCCTGCCTTGTCTCCAGCTTCATCCCCTGTTCTCTTCCTCTTCCTGTCTATTCCCTGAACTAGAGAGACTCTTTCCCACTTCAGGGCCTTTGCACTTGTGGTTTCCTTTACTCTTGCCCTGACTCATCACCTGACTGGCCCTTTTTCATCCTTCAGTTCTGCTTAAGTGTCTCCTTCTCAAAGAGGTCTTTCCTTCATTCTCCTCCCTACCCAACTCTGTTGGTCTCCACCATTGTTTCCTTCATCAGACTTTACATTATTTGCCTGCTTCATTTCTTATTGTCTATCTCTTCCCTTACCCTGTAAGCTCTGGGAGAACAGGGACTGCTCTATTCCTGGCCCCTGTCAAAGGGCTTCACCTGGAATCAGGTCTCAAGGACCATGTGTTGCATGAATTCCCTCCAAAGCTTCATGTACATGAGAAAGCCCCGCTAAGGTTTGCCCGAGACTCTCCTTCACCTTCCCTGTTTCCCAGTCAGCATCCCCCACAAGCAGAAGTTTAGACTGAATGGCAGCAGAGACCCAGCAATCCATGAGAGACTGGGAAAAACCCAGCCCAGACAGTGCCTAGGCATAAAAAGGAAGAAAACAGAAACTGAAGCAACTGTTTTGTTCTCAGTCTCTGCAAAGAAGGTTCTATCAGAGGAAGCTGAGGTTACCATGGAGAGGAGAAAAGAGTATACACTCTACTGTGTGTGTTTGGGGTGGCCAGGCGGTGTGGGGTGGGGGTGCTGGCAGATCAACCAAGAGCAAACATTTGTTGGCCTGTTTCCAGTACTGTCTGGTAGGGACAGCTAAGCTTTGTTGCTTTGAGAGCCACCTACTCAGGTGGAAAGTCACAGATAATCAAGTGCAAATTATGTATCCAGACACTATGCAAGTCTTTACACTAATCATCTTATCTCATTTAATCCTAAAACACCCTTATGAGGATGGAGCTATCATTATCCCCATTTGGAAAGGTGGCTGGGACATAGAAGGGTAGGACTCTGCCCCCAACAGAGAGCTGGTGCTGCTGGCAGAAGTGACTTGAACCCCAGGCTGTTTGACTCCAGAGCCAGTGCTCTCAGTTACCCGCTACTGCTTCTCCACAATCAAAACATGAGGTTCTACTTTCTTCTTTTTCTATTAGTGACTTAACCTCTTGGTTAGGTAGAATCCATGACTCCAACATGACTCAAGCACATATGAAGTCTTCGTTATACCCGATTTCCCTTTGCTATTCAGCTCTCATGGGGCTCCGGTCCCATGTTGCCTTTGGTAGAATCAGGCTTCCACCATGTAATGGAACATGTTCTGGTTGGGTTGTGCTTGCCAGGTGACCGCGCCTGCTGGCGGGCTCCCAGGCGATGGTGGTGGACAGCAGGAGTTAGGCATCACCGAGCAGGTAATCCATGTGCGCTAATTCAGTAGAACATCTCAAGCTAAAGGTCTCTGGCAGGGGTGCATTTGGTCCCAGACCCTGGAGAGAAGGAGGCCTGGCTCAGCCAGCAAGAGTGCATGTTCCTTTCATGGGCATTTCCCTTGCGTGGAGAGGGGGTCCAGCCCTCATGGCTGGGTGATTTTAACAACAAATGGACTTTTCCTCTTGCCTGGTTCCACACTCATCAAGCCATCTTCTGACTATATTTTGGCTTCTAAAGGATATTCTCCCACAGAAAGAAAACATGCTAACCAGATGGCACAAATTCCTGGTTACCTCAGCACTTTTCTTTCTAATTGTTAATTAGAAATTACTGTTTTGTGTTAGGCGGGGGGTGAAGAGCACAGTTTTGAGGCAGACAGACCGGGGCTTGAGTCCTGGCTCTGTCCCTTTTTAACTGCATGACTTTGGGCAGGTTGTTTGACCTTCCCAAGCCTTCGGTTTCCTCCTTTGTAGAATTCCATGGCCATATCCAAATATCCATTTCTGGATAATAACAGCACTATCTTCACAGGGTTATGGTGAGGACTGGAGGAGATAATGCATCAAACAACCAGGACAAAGCTTAGGACCCCCACGGGGCCTGTATATGCTCAACAAATATTAGCTGCTATTAGGATCCCATGAATTTGATGAACGTGAATGCCACCTCCCACCTCTAGGTACAAAGAAAAATCTGCCTCCTGGGACTACAAAGCTGATCAGCTGACCTAAGCTAGCCTTGAGCCAGCATCTTTATGTCAGAGTACCCCTCCCTGTTTTCAGGACCTCCCCCTCTCCAGGCTCTGAGTTCAGGTCTTCTCACCGTTATACAGACTGAGGAGCTAAAATGAGTTTGGTCTGAGAAGGAGTGAAAACTGAACTCGTCCTTGAGGGGTATGGGAGGATGTCAGGAGCCATGCTTCTTGTCTTTCCAGCCTCACAGTCCTCCTGCCCAGAGTACCCATTCGGAAGGCACCAGAAAGCAAGAGGCAGCCTTGCTTTCCCCGGAAATCACAGCGTCTAGGGAAGGGCGGAAAGGGGACAGAGTTGCTTGGACTCAAACTCTAAGGTGTGCAGGGCAGAAAGCAGAGGTGGGCTGTGGAGAGCTCCTCCCAGTGTTAAGGTTTGAATTCTGTCCAAACGGGCCAAACCTCTGGGCCTCACCATTTCAGGAACTCAGGCCAGAGTTGTTGATAGACTGATTGATGATGGGTGTGGCCACCCTGCTCTACTCCCTCCTCAGCGGCCCAGCTGACTTGTGAGGGAGTGGCTGCCTTAACTGGGGGGTGGCAGTGGGCCACAAGCTTTCTGGGAGGCCTCCTCCCACCCTCCCATCATGCCAGCTGTCTCCTCCCTTTGTCCCCAGTCCCCGGAAAGTGGCCAGAGGCTGGCTGACATCACCTCTCCTCCTCCCTCTATTTTCTCTCTCTCCATGCCTGATCTCCCTCTTTTGCTTTATTTCCCCCCTTTCCTCCATTCTTCCTCTACAGAAGGGCCTCTTTGGCCTCTCCTATTTTCCTGTAGCCACCTCCATTCCTTCACCCCCTCCCAACCTTTTTACTTGCCTCCCAATCACAAGCCCCTGCCAACCACCGGTGGCCATCTGTTCCCGCCCCTAAAACAGCAGATAGGACTCGGGCTAGGCTTGCCCCCTCCCCTCCATCCAGGGGCAGCCTCTAGAAAGAAAAAGAGGAGAATGGGGAGGGGGAGGGGAGAAAGGGGAACCTAGACCCAGAAGGAGCTAGGGAAGGGGAGTGAGAGGGAGAGAGGGAAACAAAAGCAGGGGCGGGGGGTGGGGGGGTGAACTCAGCCTCTCGGAGGAGAAAGGGCCCAGGAAGAAAGACAAAGAGAAGGCAAAAATAAAAGTGACAGGAGTGCAGGGCAGGCCGTGGAGGCCTATGGCCCGCAGCCTCCTCTCCCTGGTGGACTCACCGACGTGGCTATGGCCATGGCCTTGGCCTCTCGCGCGGCCTGCTTCAGGCCAAGCTCGGTTTCGCTGATTTCACCAGCTGCCGCCCCGCACCATGGAGGCGGCCCCTGGCTGCGGCGCCTGAGTCGTGGCCTCCGCGGAGGTTGGAGGAGGAGAAAGAAAACCCACAAAACTCCCCAAATGGGAGGCAGCTTGGCCGGGCAGGAGGAGGAGCGGGGCGGGCCGGGGCGTCTCTGCGGGACCTCATCCAAGGGCGCGCGCTCCGTGCCGTCCCGGGGGCCGCGGGGTTGGCCAGGCCGCCGGAGCCGCCCGCCCTAGGCCGCTGAGGGACCCGGGGTTCGCATGGGCCGAAAGCTCCCTCCCAGGGCCGGGGCAGGCGAGGAGGCGGGAGCTGGGGCAGCGCTCGACGCCTCGCCTGGCCGCTTGGGACGGCCCCGAGGGCTGGGAGAAGCCGCCGGGGCGGTTGGGCTGGACGGGCGAGTTCAGGGGCCAACCGTCCCCAGCTGGGGGCCGCGGCGGAGAGCGGTGCTCCCAGGGCTGTGGTCAGGGCGGCCCGGGGCCCTGCGGCGGCCCAGCTGCGAGGGGGTGGGGCGAGCGAGCAGGGAGACGATCGCCCCTTTTCAGACTCGCCCAAGTTGGCGGAGGGAGGCCAGGTTGGCGCGGGAGGCCTGAGAGCGTGGCTGTGGCGCTGCGTCGCCCGTGGAGCTGCGGTCGGCCCAAACACTCGCACGCCCGGCGGCGAGGCGGGTTCACACTCACGCACACTCGCCCTCTGCACGCCCGATGCTCAGGGGGCGCCGCGACGGAACCTCGCTCCCCGCACGCGGGCTCGGCCCGAAGGTGGGGGACCGCCTTCCCCACGCCGCCTCGGGGCCCACCCGCGCGCCGCCACCCCTCGGCCCGCTCACGCGCACCCTCCGCAGGGCCCCTCGGCACGCTCTGGAGCTCGGGGCAGCTCCCGGGTGGCTCTGGGGACGGAGAGAAAGGCCACAAAGCAAAGGAAGCAGCAAAGAGAAGGCGAAGGAGGAGCAGGGGCCAGGGGCCAGACTCGCCTGGAGGGGGGCCCGGAAGGGGGGTGGACACTGAAGGGGCTGCGAAGGCTCCGGGGGTCGCGCGTGGCCTTCGGGCTCAGTCCCCGCGCGCGCGGCTCCCTTTCCCTCCCCTTCCCGGGCTCCCGGCTCCCTCTCAGGGTAGCTCCTTCCTCCACCCCTCGGGCCCTCTTCGCCCCGGCGCGGGGCTCAGTCCAGAGGATTAAAAGAAAGGAGGGAGGGGAAAAGGGAGGGGAAGGGAAGGGGCGGAGGAGAAAGGAGGACGATCCCTCCGAAGGCGGGTGTTGAGTTTCAGTTTGGGACCCTCGGGCCAAACTGCGCGCCCCCTCCCGGGCCCGCTCCCCGGCGCCTCCTGCTCCCGACGTCGCGGCCGACCTCCCGTGGTCTGGTGAGCTCCTTCCTGGGAGCCTCCCTCACCCAGCCGCGCCCCCGCTCTGCCCCACCAGCCCCGCGCCTCTCTCTGCGTCCCTTTCATGAGCCCCACATCTGTCTTTCCCGTGGGAGGGAGCGCGCTCCTTCCTCCTTTCTGGGGTCCTCAGCCGAGCGTCTCTTCTCCCTTGGCGTTGCCTCAGCAGCGGTGACAGGGTTGGCCAGCCGTTCCTGGAGGAGATTGGGCGGGGGGATGGGTGGGGGTCTGCAGCTGGACATGGATTCTGGCCCTGGCAGAGAACATGAGCCTGGTCCCAGAGCTGCAGGCGGGCGGGTGGTGCCGCCTCTTACACTCCTCTGCCAGTCTGGGCCTGCGCCCACCCCCCTTCACTCTGCAGCCTCCGGGAGCAGGAGTGGGGACTGTGGGCACAACAGGGCAGACCTCTTTCAGAGGAGCTAGGATCACCTGAAAGGACAGGGTACTTGGGATCCCACATCTCCTTGGTGTGCTGTTTCCCTCCAGCTACCCCCATCTCTTGCATCTCCCTTTTTGGGGCACACCTCAAGGCCTCTTAGGCTGGAATGGAGCCTGCCTTCTTCCATTTTTGAGGTTCCTGGTGTTGAAAAAGTGAGCTGCTATACAGGATTGAAAAACTGTTATATTTTCAGTGTTTACTTTTAACAAATGAACACTTCAAACACATAAAACGGACAATGACTATGTATAACCTAATTTGGAGATAACATCAGAAGTCTAATTTAAGGCCCTTTGTGAACCTGAGGCCTTGAACAGGTGCTCCCCTCTTTCTCTCCTCACATTACACAGGCCCACACATCCAGGCATTTCCTAGCAGGGGAGGGGGCCACCAGCCCTGTCTCCCTCTCCCTGTCACCTAGGACCTGTGAAGAATCCTATGCAGAGGGGAGAAGTAGGATGGATTAGGAAAAGATTCTGGGGTGAGCGTGGGGATGGACAGTACAGTATTGGTTGCTGGGCTTGGCTCACAGACCTGAGAATGGGCCTGGGAATTCTAAATAGACTTAGACTCCTTAGGATGGTAGAGAAACTTACAAATTTCCAGATGGATTTGTAGGGAGGGAGAGCTCCACATCCCAGTTCCAGCCCAGTCCAATCTCCTCCAGACCCCAGTCCTGGGGGCGCCTGGCTGCCTGGAACACAGACATTCAGATGCTGGGGAGTGACTTGCTTTGCTCCGCCCGGGGACTGCCAAGAGTAAACTGGGGCCAAGATGGAGGCGGGCAGGAAATCCAATTCCCAAAGATGAATGTTCAGAGAGGCACAAGGAGAAGAAGACAGTGGCGAAGAGGCAGGACTAGGCAGGAAAGAGGGGCAGGCAGAATGGTGATCTGGGAGGTGGGCTTTGGGGCTCACTGCCTGAGCTCAGTGCCCAGGGAAATAAATGTAGGTGAGGGGGAGCTGAGTACAAAGCTGCAGGAAAACAACACTGTGCTTCTGGGAGGCCCAGGCATGGAAGGGAGCCAGTCACACTCAGGAATGAATCCCCGGTTTATTAGCTGTGTGACCTTGGTCCAGTTATGTAAAGTCTCTGAGTGTCAGGTCCTGATCTGCAGCAGGGTCTTTGGTGAAGAGCAAAAATATGTAAAATGCCTATAGCACAGAGTTCTCCCTCATGGCTTTTCCTCACCTTGGCTCCCTGGCCCCGCCCCCGCCTCCCCACTGTCCTTTCATGAAAACGGAAAGTGTTTCTTTGTTGAGGCCAGGAGGAGCCTTTTCCCCGTCCTTATCTCATCTCTGCCTTCTCCTTTGCAGGGGTTTAAGGCGATTGTACCTTGTTCAGGGAGAGCTCTGGGCTCCAGGTGAGGTTGGGTGGAACCCAGGCTGGGCAGTTAGATCCCGGGTGGGCGGTGGGCGATGGGCGGCTGCCTCAGGTAGCTGGGCCCTCCACTTGAGGGCTTGCCTGGGCCATATCCCAAGGGTAACAGGGAAGGAACCCTTCCATCTGGCTTTCTGGGCCCCAAGTTCTCCCCGCTTCCCAGCAGGGCCAACTGCTGGTTTCTCCCATCCCTTATCATGACTATTCTTGCTCCCCGTGCTGCTCAAAACGCAGGTACTCAGGGCTTCTTCCAGTTCTCCTCTCTTGGGACCCCACAGCAACCAGATTGCCTGAGTTCTAATCCTGTTTCAACACTTTTAGTGAACTTGGCAAGACCTCTTGGAGCCTCTGGTTCCCTGTCTGCAAAGTGGGAATAATAATGAAATCAATAGCATCAGGCTTTCTGTGAAGATTAAGAGATTCCTGAGAACAGTGCCTTGCCCTGCTGTTAAATGTTGGATAAAAGCAACTATTATTATTGCTATTTGAGGCCAGCCCCATGGAGGCAGCTGCAGGTCAAAGATGCAGTGTGTGTCCTTGAGAAACTCACATCACATAGACCATGCTTGAATTCAGTCAGGACCTTGAAATAAAGTCCAAACGCTCTGTCACAACCAGTAAGACCCTCTGTGATCTGGCCACTGCCCACCTTGTTACTTTATCTCATCCCGCTCTCCCCTATCCTTTGTTTTCCACCCACATTGTCCTTTCTGGCTCTCAGATACTTCCAGCTCTTTCCCACCTCTAGGACTCTGTCTGTCCTGCTGCCTCTGTCTAGACCACTCTTCCCCCACCTGCTTTCCATCGTCATGTCAAATTCCTCACCCTCAGAAAGGCCTTCCCTGGCTTTGCAAGTCCGAGCAGCACCCTCCTTCCACTCCCCTCAGCCTCCTATCTCAGAACAGTGTTGCGTTTTCTTCACAGCACTAACGATTATCAGACGTGATCTGGTTTCCTTGTTTATCATCTGTCTCCTAAAACGTAAGCTTCACGAGGCAGAGATCTTATCTGGCTTGTCCTCCTCTGTCCTCGTAGTATTCAGAATAGTGCCTGGCCTCTACTGGCGCTCAGTAACTACCAGCTGAGTGGATGAAGGAACAGGGCAGTTGTGACCCTAGGACAAATCTGAGTAAGCCCAGGGCTTCCATGGGTGCCACCAGCACTGGGCTGAGGGGAGAGAGTTGTGGGGCTATTTGCCCAGTGCACCCAGATTTTCCATGTGTCTCCCAGGCCAGACAAGTTTCTCTCTTATTCCTTTTTTTTTTTTTTTAATTACCTTTCTTTCTTTTTTTTTTTTAAAGATTTTATTTATTTATTTGTCAGAGAGAGATCACAAGTAGGCAGAGAGGCAGGCAGAGAGAGGGGAGGAAGCAGGCTCCCTGCGGACCATGACCTGAGCCGAAGGCAGATGCTTTAACCCACTGAGCCACCCAGGCGCCCCAATTCCCTTTATTTCTTAAAGACTCGCTTATTTATTTGTGGGGGCAGGGAGAGGAAAAGAATCTCAAGCAGACTCTCCTCTGAGTATGGAACCTGACATGGGGCTTGATCTCAAGATCCCCGGGGAGATCATGACCTGAGCTGAAACCAAGAGTGGGACACTTAACTGACTGAGCCATGCAGGCACCCCACACAAGGTTCTCTTTGAAGGCAGGCTCCCAAGCCTAAGCATCTTCGTAACTACAGGTGATACTACAAATAACAAACCACCAGTATCATTATCGCTAACTAATCAGGGCGCTGGAGCAGTACTCTAGAGGGCCCCATTGCTGGCTCACAGGCAGCTTGTGATCCAGGAGGTGGCCCCCAGGGCCGAGGACAGTATGTATGGATTTACTGGTGGGGAGAGAAGTGTTTCAGCATTTTAACTGCTGGTGCGGGGCCTTCCCATCAGGCATGTGCCAACAGGCTTGTGAAGACCCTGCTGAGTCCTGTGGTTTCAGTGGTAGCTGAGGTCCAGAGTGGCTGAGCTTGTTGGCGTTTTTGCGGTCAACCAGGTTACCCTCTCAAAACCGAAAAACAAAACAAAACCAAAATAACCGCAAGCATGTCTACAAAGGAGGAGAAAGGTCCAGAGAGGGCCCAAGGTCAAGAAATGACCAG